TGCCTTATCTAAAGAACTAAGACACAAGAGCCTTACCTAAAGTTGATCTGTTTCTACTGACGAGCCAGCAGTGGTAGCCAAACAGAAACATAAGGCTTACAAAGAACATGACTGCCACAAAGAGAAGGAAAAGGACATGGAATTTAGAACGTCCGTTAGTCAGTTCACCCTGGAAAGAAAAACAACAGAGAACAAGTGATAAGAATAAATTAAAGCTGGAAACTCTTTGTTCCTAGAGAGAATAAATATAACCTCTAAAACTCTTATTGGGAGTTCTCAAACTTGTATCCACACAACACACACCTTACTATAAAAAGCAGGAAGAGACAAAGAAGTGATCTGGTTCATTTCCCCTCCTGTAACCAAGGCAGAACAAGTCAGGTTTTGTTACTAGCCTGTTGTATGTAGCAGAGCCAGTACAGTCAGGGCTTCCCTCCTGGGCACAACAAACATGCCCTCTGCCCACAGGGAAATTATCAGGCACAAGCTCTTGGAGCCCTGTTTATGTTCTGCTGAGTCTCCTGTGCGCATATTAAAATTGTGCACCTCTTGCAATATCAGGCATGCTAGGAAAACCTCCACAGCTCTAGCAATCAGGTCGTGTTAGAAATGAGCACAGATGGTTTGGAAAAGTTTAAAAGCCAAGTGGGATCTTACTAGGAGAAGAAACACTTATTTCCTTCTACAGTAGGAGAGCCAAGTGCCAGAGATCCTCACCAGCAGACATCTACAGATTGGCTGGGGGGACCTCAAGGTAAAAACATCACTTCTCAGCCTCTGCACATCCAATGAGCACCTCTAGAGGTGTTTATGTACAGTATTAGCCATTAAAACAACATAAATTTAATGAATTTCAAAGCACAGCAAAGTTAAGCTACTTAAACATGGTCAGAGTTAGCAGCAGAGGGGACATAAAAAGAAGAGACAAAATGCCAGTCTGTCACTGGAACTGTCAGTTGGCATTGCTTGCATATGAATTATAATCAATAACTGAGTAAGAAGCACACTTTATTTCAGCAACTTTCAAACTGAGAAAGGAGTCATATGGGGACTGGAAAATTAACAAGGTTTTCTGACATTGTTCAGTAAATACGTAGAGATCAATGCCAGGATGTTACACTTTGATACTATACTGAAGATTCTGATACACACACATGCAAACACAAGACCAGAAAAAAGATAAAACTTCTTTGCCAGAAGCTAACCCTACAGTTTGAAATTCCTGAAGTCTATTTGCTTCTCACTTTGTGCATTTCAGACATTTATAACGGAATTATGCTCAAAAGAAGGGCTCAGGAAAATGCCTTCTGGAAGAAATGCAGACCCTCCATTGACCAAAAGCAAAAAAGTAACAAGAGTGACTAAACCCACGAGACTCAGAGGATACAAAAAAGTAACCAGATTTCACGACTTACTGTCCAATACTTAATGAAATACTTGAAGACTGTTGCAGCAATATACAAGCAATACAACAAAGAATAGGCTAAGAACAGTAGAAAGAATTTGTAGTTAGAAAATCCAATGCAGTTATTCACCCTAGAGAACAAAAGCAAAGTTGAAATCAGGATATGTACAGCACACAGTTGTAACACAATGAATACCACAATTTTTTTGGCTTTAGTAAGCCTCATGATTATACAATTTTGTCAATAAATTGCTCCCCTTGGTGGACAAAATGGACTATAATTAAAGGGTTTTTTCTTTTCACTTGAAGACTTCTTGCTGTGCCAAGTAAAAGGACAGTTCTCAATTTTAAAGTTGGTAGTGCTAGGAACTTTGTCACAGAGGCAGGCTCTAATTACTCATGTCTGCTTCCTGTCTGCAAAGGTCATAGGGTCTGGGATTTCTGTGTTTCTTTTATTCAGCTGCAAAACTCAGAAGCCAGGTTCACCCCTGCTTGTTTGTTCTCATATAAACCAAATTAACCTAAATTTTGTTATAATTCTCCATGCACAGAACAACTCTAAAAAGGAACAAGGGAACACCGAAAAAAACAGCAGGTGTTTATCTCAAAACTCAGGCTTGAAAAATCCTCTACAATGTAGGATTACCAGGGAGGTTCAGGTGGGGAAATGTTTTCGTTGCTTCTGATTTCTGAAATCTTCCTTTTTTTTTTTTTTAAATTAAAAAAAAAAAAAGAGGAGGAGTTTAAGAAATGTAGTGGCAGCAATTCTCAAAAAGGATAAAGCTTAATTCATCCATGCACCACTCTACACAAAGTGTCTCTTATCATGCACAGGTGGCAGGCATCATTTCAGAAACAATCTGCGTGCAAATACTATTATTGAAAGCAACCACCAACTGCATGCTGGAATGGTTATATACCCAAAACTAAAGGCTAAGTGGAAGTATCCTTATAACTTGAATAGTAGTCAAAGACTGAATTGGCAGCTGGAATTTAAATGATATATATAAAAACCAGTTTTTTACACATAGTTTATGGAACAATCATGAGTGATCTGTCTTTCAAAATGTAAAATGTTTCAGGCAATTTTAAAGTGTGATTGTTTTTTAAATGTCCCACCATGAAAAGATGCATGGGTTGAAATGAATGAGGCACACAGACACTATTGTCTGCAGGAAATGTGTTTATACAGCCTCTTTTTTCAGAAAACTACAAACCAGTATCTAGGACATACCACGGACAGTGATGATCCATCTTTAGCACACATCTGCAAAAGGACATAAAAAGAAAAATAAAATATTTTATTTGGTACTTAATTGCCAAATGTAGATCAATAGCAAAAGCCTCTGTTTTTTGTGAGATTTCTTTGTGACAAACTCAAAATGATACTGTCTCTGAATTTTTTAAGGTAGGTATTCTTTCAATTGTTTTTATTACTTTTTCAAGATCAACCAAAATCTCTGGCACTCTGCAAGATAAGAAATGAAAAGGATTTCTGCCCCAGAAGTGTTACAATTCTGCAGAACACAAAAAAAATTAAAAAGTGAAAACCATACTTTATTTCAGCTTGTCTAGGCTAATCAGTTAGTTTTCCCTAGGTGATAAGCTTTCTAGCAACTTCACACTGACACCCTTTCAGGTGTGGGAACTGCAAACACTTCAGGGACACAAACAGCAGAAACGCAAATGCTGCTGCTGTCACACACAAACACACCCAGCTGTGGCCAGCTGGAACAGAGGCACTTGGCTACCTTTAGTTGTCAGAAGACACGTGAAGGACCAGCCCACTCATGTCACTTGGTGGTGGCTATATTGACTTCAGTGAAAAACAACCCAGTAGCTCACCTGGCACAAACGGAGCAGTGGTGGCAGCGATCAGGCTTGATCAGCTGGCATCGATCACAGAACCGGATACCTGGAGTTGAAGACACGTTGGTACAAAGAATAGAAAAGTGTTCTTTTTTTCAAGTTATTTTTCTGTTAATTTCCTAATAATTCATATTCTTTCCTCTATCACTTCAAAATATGAGTGCATTTGCAGCTGATTTTTGCTGCCAGGTCATAACCAGATAAGCAATGCTCATAATTCTGGAGATTTGCAGATGTGGGGAACAGACCTCACTGCAAAGCCTCCCTCCAGCTCCCACATTGGCTCAGACTTTACATCTATGCCATGATGATTATTGCCTTTTTAGCAGTTCTTTACTTCAGAATTCTGTGGCTTGTCTGACAGCATTGAGAGGCCAGAGCCTCCCACATGCACAGGGATTTCTTTCAGGTTTGGAAGGAGCATAGTGTGCGTTTCATCACAGAACAAGGCCCAGAAATCTCTTCGCAGAATTATGTCCTGCTTGTCTAAGCTCGACTGCAGTGTAAGTAAAAACAAGAACAGATTTTGTCATTCTATTGGCAGCACTAAATGCAGACACCGTGAACAGTGTTTGGAACGGTAAATACAAAGGGTAAGAGGCCACTTCTCCTGATGCTCCTCTGAAGGTGAACAGGATCATTCAAGGCTTTTGTGTGTTCCTAAAAGTAACACCTGAGAGAAGAGGCACTGAAATAATTTGCACAAGAGTTACTCAGTGCATGCAGAGGCATTAGGAAGGCCCTGTGGGTTGGCAGCATCATCTGGATTGCCAGCACGTGCTGCCTTACTGTGCTTGGATAGACTTGGTGAAGCAAAGCTGCCCCTCAGCTGACCTCCGTTCCCGGTCCGTGTGTACACCGGCAGCTTCCGAGCCATTTCCACCAGAATTTGCCTCTGCACCTCTGGCCTTTCTTCATTTTCGTAGCGTTCCTTGTCAGCATAGGACATGTGGTACTAGAAGCAAAGTCATGAGAGAAGCAGTTACCCACAGGTAGCAGGGATCATACTGCAAACACCAGCAAGTTTCAAAACATTTTTACCTCCCACTCCTTCTAATGAGATTAATGCCAAGTGAAAACGCGTTTGTTAAGAAGATGAGGAGAGGTAAGAAGTGCTGGGCTGCCAGAACACTCCAGGGTACATCAAAAAGAAACACAAGAGTGAAATTAAGGATCACAAACCTACATATTAGAATTGCTAGTAGTGCTACCTTAAGAGTACTATTTTAAATGCATAACTCTACTAACCATGATAAGGACACTTTAAGCACTTCCCTTGTGAGCAACAACATGTCCCCAGATACAGTTTTATATTTCTAAAACTGGGATTAGTTGTTATTTATAAATTTACATTCTTGTAATTAGGATCTGATTACAGTCATGCATATTTGGAGTGCCACACAAACAACCATCCTCATTCTACTGCTCCAGATATTTTATTAGTATTTCATAAAAAGGTAAAAGAAAATGAAACAAACAAACAAAGAAAAAACCACCAATCCGAGCAACACAGAATAGTTAGGTATTTGGTAAAAAAAATAAAAACAAATGGCTGCCTCTGACTGGCCTGTGCTCAAACCACTAAACCATACTCTTGTCCTCAACTAATCCACCTATGTTAAAAAGCCAATACCAAACCCTTAACTAAAGTATTATTAATGACACAATCTACTTGTGTCAGAGTGAATCCCAGTTCCTCTCTACCACAGCACAGTGTCCCATTTCTCCTTCATGCTGCTGCTGACCAGGGCAGTACAAGGACTGGAGATGCTGGAGCTACATGGATCTCTCACATCAGATTAAAAGCCACGTGCTATGTCCAGAGCCACTGTCCTCACTGCCACAGGCATGAGACCTCGGCATGTTCAAAGGAAAATGATTCTTCCATCCCTCACTAGCATAAGAAAGAGTCCAAATGAAGCCAACTTAACCACTACAAAGAGGACTCCTCCAGCCAGCAAAGGGCTCCCATCAGAGCAGGCAGTGCTAGAATTTGGTGGAACACTGAATGTTCACATATGCACAAGAATTGCACAGGAGAACAAGAAACCCCACTAGCAGTATGGATGCAACCACTTCCACCTGCACTGTAACATCTTCCATGAAGACAGAAAACCAAAACTGAGGGTCTCCTTACTGTGGAGACTCCAGAAAGGCTGGGTTAAGGGGAGGCCCCCAGGATTTGTCTTGCAACTTGTTAAACCCTTAGAGATCAATGACACTATAAATATGGAAGTTCATAAACATCAATCCTATTACTCTCAACATAAAAAATTCCATCAGCTCCTGGAACACCTGAAAAGGCAGCTTTACCATCTGATCACCATCTCTGATTTAAATAATGCTCCGTGGGGAGTTATAGGATTCAGAATGATAAATTACTCAGCTGTCATGGACAGCTCTAGGTCACTTATCATCTCTTCAGGAAACCCAGTCAGTTGTCTGGAACAACTAGATTGAAATATTTTTGAGCTCTCTTTAGTGCCTCTGCTTTCATGCTGCAATGAAGGAAAAGTGCTTGAACTCTTACCTTCTTGCCTGGCTGCAGTGGGAGAGTAAAAATAGACTTCCAATATGTCCACACAAAGAGCACAAAGAGAATATGGAATATTATAAGATAGGCCACTAAAAAACAAAACAAAACAAAAACAAACAGAAGCAGAACAATGACTTCTTAAGCAAAAGTTTAATTCATTCATGATGGGCATAATTCCAATTTTTCACAACAATGACAAAAAAATGAAGGAAAAAAGGAAAGATTCACAGTACCAACCAGCATTACAATACAGCTAAACCCTGGTCAAAGGGCCAGTACAATTTCAGGGATCTGTGGCTGCAGTTAGGGATTACCTGTCTCACAAGCCTCCCCTTCTCCACCCGATTTGATTCCATGACAGGACAGGTGACAAGTCTGTGGCACTGGGAACGACAGGATTGCTGCCTCCTCCCCATATCCTAGGCACAGGCAACTCAAAATGGGCTGGTGCTGAGCAGCATGAAGGTTAATACTGCAATATTTCAGCACCTCCAAACTGTTGGTTGGTTCAGCTGCTACTAAATGCACTTAAAATCACAGTAGCACATTATCAGAGTGCTGCCCACTCCTGCCATGCCTCCTTCACCATTTGTGAGCGTTGAGAGAGGCAATATGCTCTAGCAGAGCTTTACACCAGCAGAATAAAACCAAATCTCTTATTAGACAACTTTCAGACTTGCCACAGTTGGCAGAATCAAACAAAACATCCCTCAAATTGAGCAAAACATGTCTCGTGATTATTAAGAAAGAACTGTAATCCACTGGACATGACATGATCACGTGGAATGCAGCACATGTCCGAGCAACCGTATTTCAGGTGCCTTTGGGCACAAGCAGGCAAACTGTGGGTCAGAAAGGCCCAGGACAGCCAGTCCCGCAGCTACACAAACTGATTGTTATTTTCTTAATACTCAACTATGACATTATCAAACAAGACAGTTTCATTTAAGCACACCATTCAATCATAATCATAACAACTTAATTTTCCCTGTTTCGTTTAAGCTTCAAATTCCAGATTACTAGGATTGCAGTAACCACTGCCAGTGGAAAGAGAAATTTAAAATCCAAATACTTCTTAACTTCTCAGGCAAGACTGCCTGTGTGAAAATGTAATTGGTAAAAAGGCCAAACAGAGCTCTGAGACTTTCTAATGAGATGCCAAGTGATCTGATACACCTTGCAAGAACATGATGGATTGTGTGAATGATCTGTGGATCAATGATAATTCATTATTATGCTCTTAAGTTTGTTTGAGATGTTATCCTTATACCACTTGCAGGTGGAGCTCAGCCATTTAAAAACTAATATGCAAGGAACTACATGTTGCAACAGGTTTCATTTTGTTGATAAAGCATTACAGGAGCATGTTAGAAGCAGCTGAACTGCAGATGCACCTATAGATTAGGCAACTAATAACTTTCTTCTGCTGAATAATCATTAATATCATGCTTTGTATAGCTTCTCTGTAACCATTTCAGATACTACGACAGCTGTATAATGGAAAGAGAATCTACTTGATGCAGCAATCTGGAGGATCTTTAAAGTATCAGCTGGCACTGTTCTTCAAGGAACAACATGCCAGCTGAAAACCACTACACCTACTTCTGTCCTTCATAACCCTGGAAGAATAAATGAAGGTAAGAGTCCATTCGTATTAGCTAAATGCCTCCAAAGCACTTCCAGGGAAGGAGAGGAGTAACAGTCACTAACATGGCCACCAACCCCTTATTCTTAGAATGTGACTGTGGCCTCCAACAAACAGGAGTGGGAACAGTCTCACCAAGTGATCCTGCTGCTCTGCCCAGCCTGTTCAACCACCTCATGACATGGGGTGCCTGGGAGCTCAGAACGTCTGCCAGCCCGTAGTGCCCAGAGAGCCTGGGGAGTGTTCAAGCCTCCTACCGCAGAGACAGAAACCTTTGCTCAACTCATCTGTGGTAGGAACTGAGAGTTACTGTGTTACCACTCAGTGTATGGTTAGTCCTCCACAGAACCAAGCACAAAATCCTTTGCAAATGCCTTCCTACAAAAAAACATTAAAAATAGCTTTCACTGAAAGATCAAGTAAAACTGACAAAAACCCAGGCAGGCTACAGAATGGAACTAGTCTTTTCTGTTTAGCTTGTAAAATCAGCTCTAAAAACATAGAGCAGAAAGGGGGAATGGCGTGTGGGTGCCCACAGAGAGACATGCATAGTTTTTTCTGAAAGGGTGAAAGGAATCAAAGCCTTGTCATGTTCTTCTGCTTATACTGTGCCTAAACAGAGGCATCTCCCAATACCTCCAAAAGTTACAACATGTCTAGCAGCAGTGCATGCTGTACACTTCAGAAACATGTAATTACAATCAGGAAATACCAAAAGAGAATGTAAGTTTAAAAAAAATGACAGAAAGTATCTTGATATTTTATCTAGAACATTCTATAAATCTTTTTACACAAGGGTTGAATGTCAAGTAGTAAATTGACTGCACATACCTTTTTCCACAGGGTTGCTCAGAGTCACTGAAAAAGAAAAAAACATATGTCTACAAATCTAATAGGAGTCCCAGAAAAGTTTGTGACAAGCAATGTTTCTATTTGACATATAGCCATTTTAGGAATTGAAGTTTCAAATCAACAGCCAAAAAGAAAGCCCACAGTTTAGCATAAAATCAAAAGCATCCACAACAATTCCTTGTTTACTCATATACATGACACCCACAACAAGATGTTATTACTTATGCTGTATTTTCCCTTGTTATAAAATACATTTTGTATACTTGTACATTAGAAATATGACAAAAAAAATATCCACAGGTGACTGGTGTGACAAGAGCACCAAGGCTCCCCTAGCAGGAGGTCCAAGCACCATCTTTATCCAGGTACTGGTAGCCTGCTTTGTGCTAGTCTCTAGGTGGTCTTGATCCTGCACAGTGAGCCACACCCCAATGCATCTCTGCATCAGCATGAACAAAAGTTACAAACTGTCTCAGCTTTGCTAGTCAGGAGACACTGTAATGACTCAATGATTTCTACACTTCCTACTAGCAGAGTTTTTACAACGCCTCCTTACTTCACCATAATCACAGGAGCAATCCCTAACAGAACCCCTTAGAGCAACCAGCAAAGGGCACACTCCTCAGTGTCTACTTCTACTCATTATTTTAAAATCCATCCATAATTTTGAAGGCTATTCAAGTTTAACACAAAAGATAAAGACATCTTTCCTTAACAAAAAACAGAGCAGTGCTGCAATATCTTGCCAGAATGCTGCCTGGAAGGCAAGGATCATTCATGGGATGGGAGCCTCTTATATCAAGTCCATGGCCTTGAGTCCATGGAAGTATTGAGCCTTGGAAGAACAGAGGAATGGAAACCAGCGGCCATGGATGATCTCCCAGAGGCACAAAAATAAGACAGCAGGGTTGGAGGACTCAAAAGATTTGAGAGCTTGCACACAGCTGTGTGACCCCTTCAGAAACTCTGACTGGACAGAAGTGATTGAGGGACTGGAGCTGTTTATTCTAGCCTACAGCCACCACCTGGAAAAGAGACTCCAGTCTACTCTTCCAGACTTTACCATCTCACTTGAGTAACACATTTGGAAAGTGTAAATCAATTTTGATCTGCAAGCTCTATGATACACAACAATGTAGATGAAGAGACCAAGTATTTGCTGTCTCTGTGCACCCCATTTCAGATAAACAATGTTGTTACAAAACCTTTAGTTTTTCCTTTGGTTTGCTGCAAATCAAACTACGAAGAATACATCAGGTTTTCACAAACACTGGCTGGTTCCCTCCTGAAGTACATGTGGCACTTGCAGCATCATCTTTCTAAGGATTTTACTTCAGAACAAGCTCCTGAATATAGACTATATAAAAAGTTTTATCACACAACACTGGGTCATTCTCACTGCAGCAGCAACCACCAACCAGACATGGAATCAGGCCTCCTCTGCAGCACAACTTGGTGGCCACACCACTCACTCCTCAAAGTTTAAAACCCAGCATCAGGAGATACCTCTAGGACATCACCCCCACAGTAATTGCAATCCTCAGCAGTCTGCACAACTGAAGGTGAAAATCAAGAATCCAAACAGAGCAGCTACTGTTCCCATGCTGGCAGCAGCTGAAGCAGCACTACACAATGGGAACCTGGAAAAAAGAAGCTGGCACATAAAGCCTTGCTCTGTTGGACATCTGTGAGAGAGATAATGTCCTGAGAGCTGGCCAGTTTCTGTGTATGGCAACAGTTAATGTTCAAATCCTAAAATAATGTAGTCATTGCGACATCTGTACAGATCGATACCCTCCTCCACACACAAATAAAATGCATGAGAAAGAGAGAACAACAGGGCGAAAAAAAGAGGCGTGTGGGCAAAGGAAGGATCTGAAGCTGTGATTCTAGGCAGTGAGAGGAGCTCCTGCCAGCTTCACCAGCATCTGCAGAGCAACAGAGGCCCAATCCAAACTCCACCTCAATCAGCAGTCTTTTCTAACAGTGGCACTGAGACTTGGAACTAACCAGTGTTAAAAACGACTGGACTTGCACAGCACTGCAGACAAAGCCTATTTCAAAAGGTTGACAACATTTCAGGAAAATACAATTTTTTTAGCACACAGTCTAAACTGACAGTTACATGCTCCTTGTAGATATTGTTCCATGTGAATTCTTGAAAAAAAAACACCAAACAACATACAAAAAAAACCAGCCCGCAACCTCAGAGATGGAATAAAATGTCATGAAGTGTTTGGGGGTTTAGCCTGGCTGCCAATTAAGAGAATAAAGAAGCTACACTTCCTTTTAGTCTCCATTGAGAAAAAAAAACAATAGATCTCACTGCATTGGCAACATTAACAAAAATCTGATTTAAATTTGCTGTGCAGTACCAGAAGGCAGCTCTTTTCAGAGACATCTCAATCTACCATTCTGAGAACTCTGGCTTCCTTTATCTGGCTTTCCCTGTCCTGAAGAGAAAGAGCCACATGCTCCTCCTCACAATTTCACAAGTCCAAGCTACCAGCCTTTCTCTCCACCTCCACCAGACCTACCAATCCTTTCTTTTATGAACAGGTTTTTGCAAACACACTGAACCAGAACATAATAAACACAAGAAAGTTCACAACTTACTATATAGTTAAATTACCACATGAAGCTATACAATTACTAGTGGGTACCAATATTTCTCTCTCTAAAATGTACTTTTCCCATGATAAAGTGACATGTTACTTGACCCAGGAGCGTGAAGCCTATTTTTTCATTTTCAGAATATAAAAACCCAACTGCAACACAGGACATATACTGATTTTTTTGTCACTGTTTGAACCAGAAATCACGTCTGAGCACCATCCTATAGCAACGACATGGACTCTCACTGTGGGGATAGATCTTGTCTGCACGGTTGTCACTTCCCCTGGGTGACATGAGGATGTACAATCCTCGGGACTCAACACATCTTGCCAGCCCAGCAAGGATACACGTTATGGAAAAAGGATGGCCCATCATAAACCCTACAGTGACTAATCCCATCGTGGGCCTGACTATCGGGGCAGTGTTTCCCGGTGGGCTGCGGGTGGATCCCCCAGGGAAGGGCTGGGCAGGGGAAGCCCCGGGCAGGGGAAGGGCTGGGCAGGGGAAGGGCTGGGCAGGGGAAGCCCCG